TATAGATAGGGACTCTGGGGCAAGTGATGCTCTGTCTTCTTGGTGCTGGGGGGGGGGGTCAACAGCGGGAGGGCTCCTAGTGTCCTGGCCCCACTGGTGGACCTCCTGATGGCACCTGGTATTTTTGGCCACTGTGTGACAGTGTTGGACTAGATAGGCCATTGGCCTGATCCAACATTGGCTTCTCTTATGTTCTTATTTTCCCCCCCATTTAGGAAGAATTTGCAACAAATCCAACTCTGTTGTGGAAGGATTACCCTAATTCTCGAATGTTGTAAGTCTTTTACTGCCTCATCTGATTTGGTGTCTTTGTGTGTGTTTGGAGGCCCCCCCCATTTAGGAAGAATTTGCAACAAATCCAACTCTGTTGTGGAAGGATTACCCTAATTCTCGAATGTTGTAAGTCTTTTACTGCCTCATCTGATTTGGTGTCTTTGTGTGTGTTTGGAGGGGGGACGCTAGCTGAATCAACTTTCTGACATAAGTAACCTTTCTCCTTCAAAATAGACTTGGAAGACTAGAGTTTAAATAATCTTTGCCAAATTCTGCCCTGCACTGAGATCCTGAATTATTCATGGCAAAAATTGCCATGCTTGTTCTGATCAATGATCCATCTTGCCTACAGGCAGTTGTTTCAAATTGTGCATGCAGGGTATGGTGGCAATATGCATGGCCTGTTGTTTATCCCCAAGTATTTGGCAATCCAACTCATCTGACCATTACATTTCTATTATCTTTCAAGTGTTTATATAATTCTTTTTTTAAGCTATGCAGATTGCTATCAGAATGTGGCAGTGATTATTGTAGACTGATATGCTGTAACAAGAGATTCCCTCCTGTATCCAATTAGAGGATATAAACTAAACATTTTCCAAAGACTTTGCCTCTGTAAATGGTTTAGCAGCAGAGTTCTCCAGGAGTTGTCTGGAGTTCTCCAGTGGTTATCAGCCTTTAATTCTGATAATACAAAAGAGTAAGGGGATGAGTTTGATTCTTTGTAATGTAACCCGCAAACCAGACATAGAAGATGTAGAAACTTTTATCTTTTATTGAGATAAGAAATTATTCTCTTTATGGAACAAGACAAAAAAATTCAACCAAATAAAAAAATTAACCCAACAATTACAAAGTTCTAGCATTGCTTAATCATATTATAGCAATAGAACAAAGTCTGAGTCCAGTGGCACCTTTAAGACCAACAAAGTTTAATTGTGGGTAAAAGCATATACCCAAAATTAAACTTTGTTGGTCTTAAAGGTGCCACTGGACTCAAACTTTGTTCTGATGTTTCAGGCCATCACAGCTACCCACGTGAATCTATATTATAGCAAGTAATAGCAAATCAGATTTAAGCTTTTGTATCACTGCTTTTAGGGATTATCAAAAACCCAAGTTACACATCCAGAAATCTCACCTAGTCTTCTTCTGAGACTCCAATCCAGAGAAATCTGATTTGCTTTTCACAATAGTATATTTATAGAAAAAAATCTTTCTCTAAAATCTGTTTTGTCATAATCATGTGGTTATTATTTAAATAACTGATTAGTTCATAACTAAATATGAGATAATCAACATAAGTGCAAATAAGCCAATCAGCATGTGCATATGTTACATCTGATAGCAAGATAAGAAGGCCAATCCCAGCTCTTAACCTTTATTAAAATTTATAGAAAAAAATCTTTCTCTAAAATCTGTTTTGTCATAATCATGTGGTTATTATTTAAATAACTGATTAGTTCATAACTAAATATGAGATAATCAACATAAGTGCAAATAAGCCAATCAGCATGTGCATATGTTACATCTGATAGCAAGAGAAGAAGGCCAATCCCAGCTCTTAACCTTTATTAAAAAAACAGTTAATCTTACTTTTCTGTAACTGTTTCATTAACTTTCCAAGATGAAAGTAACTCTAAGCAAACAGAGTTCCTTGGCAGTTAAAAAGTACTTGAAGTCTTACCTAGCTTACAAGCTTAGCTAGGAAATGTTAGTGGTGTCTTAGCTACTGTTACGCTGTGTTTCGTAAAAGAAGTATTTCTTAGCTACTGTTACGCTGTGTTTCGTAAATGAAGTATTTTTGTTTTTGAGTTTGCTGCTCATCACTGTAGCATACATATGTGGCCTTTATTTTCAAAGCGAATGATCCTTCTCTATTCAGTTTGCCCAAACCTGTAGAGATAGAAAAAGCAGGAGTAACACATTCTCCTCTCTAGTTTCTGATTTTATCTGAGATCTCAGTTTCCCACTGTTGAGGTGTTAAGGGATGCTTGTATTGCATTCATGCAGATGAATGGAGCACAATATAACAATAAAGAGGAGAGCTGGCTTTTGAGTTTCGAGGGTAGTAGGGGTGAGATTTAGTTATATTTACCTGTGTTGCAACTTGAGATATTATTTCTGTGCAATAGTATATACCTTTTTGTATGATCTGATTTCATTAGACCTGTGTTGTGAAGTCTGAGGGTTTAAGAGATCTGTTAGAAGTCAATATCTTTTAGCCTCAGTCCTCATCGAAAATAAAGAGGATAGTACACTATAACAGCCTATCAATTTGTGGATAATCACTGGATTACATGAACACGTAAATCTCTCTGCTACCCTCTGCTTCCCCATCAGTGGGAGGAGATAACCTCCTAGGTGGTTTTCATATTAAAGAAATAGTGTAATAATTTCATGTCAATGTCCACATCACATAGTTTAATAAATGTCTATAATGTATCCTACAGTATCTTCTTTTTAGTTTGGTGACCTAACAGTTATCTTCTTCTGTAAGAAAGATGTTCCAACCACGGGATTGCTTGAACCACAGTAGTATGATTCAGTAGACCCTCACCATTTGCAGTTCACAGTTCCACTTGTTTACAGTCCATGATGTGGCTAATCCTGAGCACATGATCCCACTGCATGTTGGGAGAGGGAGAGTGAGCATGATGGCTTGCCTCCACATGATTGCCGCTTGTCAGCACTGTGCCTACACAGAAGAAGTGTACATGTTGGGTGAATTGTGCGGTATTGCCCAGGCGATTCACAAGGTGGTACCCACCACGCCTGCCTGGCCATGTGGTTTGCACAGCAGCACCTGGCTGTAAAAGTGGCAGATATACTGGCCACTGCTGCCCAACTCACTTGGCAGTGCTGGGCATAAGGTTAAGCTGCAGGTTAACTGACAAAATATTTTGAGCCAAATTCCTATTTTTTACCAGTAGTAATCTCCCTGTCTTTTTTCTTTTAGCTTTCAGGTAAAATTCTTCTATATCTGCCAGATTGCCTACTGGCTTCATGCACTGCCAGAACTCTACTTCCAAAAAATTAGAAAGGTATAAATTCAATCTTCAGTCTTTTTTAGTTTCATTTTATCTCTAGTATTAAGATTCCATAATATAAAACATAAAATTGTGCAAAGGAAACTTTAACAAAATAGATGGTGGGCACAGCTAAGGAACAGTTAAGAGGAATAGGCAGGGGACAAAATCCATCCCCCAAATATCCTTAACAATAAGTGGAATTAAGTGGTTGTGAAGTGGGAAAAATCTAATGCACTGAATTGTCCTTGCTTGCAGGTAATGCTATGTCTGCTAATGTTTGATACTCAGTGATTTTGTGATAGAACTTATATGGAGAGACACCTACTTTATTCAGGCAACTAGGGAAGAATTGACAGACCTATTGTCACAAAACATTAGTTTGATAAAATTGCATCTATTCTAACATGAATTACACTTTGGATTCAATGAAGTAACAATATATTAAGGTAGAACCAACTAGTCTCATTTACTTGGGTTAATTTGGTTCTTGAACCTGAGTGTGTGGACCAGTTTCATGGAGAAGTCAAGCATATTACTTTGCTCTTGTTGGTTGATAACTGATTGGGGGGGTGTTACTGGCCAGGGGCTTCATAGGTTCTTAGAAATTCCCAAAGAAACGATATGAGAGATCCAGATTTACTTACGAGGAGATTTTTAATAACACATCAAAGTTACAGAAGATGTAGGCTAAGCTTCTATCAGCTAGCCTTAAGCACCGCACATGCACAACAAACTTAGGCAAACCTTGGGACCACAGAGATGACTAAAACTACACATCTTATACCCTAAGTGCTGGCTGTGAGTCAAAGAATGATTAATTAAGCTATCCCAAACACTTGGATGAGCCAGGTTGGGGGGGGGGGGGAGCAACAACTCAGGCTTTGAAGATAAGCGCTGCTAACAGGCATGAGAGAGAGAAAGTTCCTCTGAGAGCATCTAACACTGTCCTCTCCTAAGACTCAGGGCAACTAAGTACCAGCGTGTAGCAAAGATGGAGTCACCCAGGCCAATGCAGGGGCTGAGAGGGGAGGGGGTCGTTTGGCCACTGCTCAAGAAATCCTTGGATATGAATTACTGCTCCAACAATTGATTGTTTACTAGTCCTCCTCACCTCAATTCCATGCACAACTGGATGTCATTGATTATGTGGATCCACCCAGTCCAGAAAAATGGGGAATTAAACCCTGTACATTTCCTTTTATCTGATGTGGATGGCCCAGGCTAGCCGGATCTCATCAGATCTCAGAAGCTAAGTAGGGTTGGCCCTGGTTAATATTTAGATGGGAGACCACCAAAGAAGCCCAGGATTGCTATACAGAGGCAGGCAATGGCAGACCACCCCTGAAGATCTCTTGCCTTGAAAACTCAATGGTATTTTCTTGGATCGCTCATATTGAACTCCTGGACTGCTTGTCCAAGACAGCGTAGAAGATCTATTCATTGATATTCAGCTCTACATGTTAGATAAGGTTCGAGCAGCCAGTGGTGCGAAGGGATTGTTTCTATAATGTGCTGTCATATTCAGAGTTGTATCTTGGCCCCTATGCTGTTTAACGTATACATGAAACAGTGAGATGAGGTAGTTTGGAATTCTGGAATGAGATGTCGTTTACATGCTGATAGCATTGAGCTCTACTTTTTATCATATCTGGGGGTGACAGTAGATGTTCGCCACAAGAGTCTGTATTGGTAACAGTTTGGATGATGCTAATAAACCAATGCATACTGCAGCTCAGAGATTCAATAGTACAAGAAGGCGATGATCAGCAGAACATAGGGATATCAACACTACCACCCTTAGAGAGCAGGCTCAAGCATGGGAAGCTGTTGGATCCAGCCTTTGTTAGCTGTTCAAGTGGTATCTGAGATGCAGAGTGCCCTTTATCAGTTATGCTGAGATGCTTCTGCAGTCTGTTCTTAACAAAGATATTGTCACCACATTTAACATGCTCTGGTAATGGGTTAGATTTCTGTGATCTGTTAATGTGGCAGTACTTTGGAAGACTTTTAGATGTTTCAGAATAAGGTTGCAAGGTCAGGAAATAGGATACACCATTTTGGTGATAGGGTTGATGTTGTCCAGTGGCACCTTTAAAAGCACAAAAGTTTAATCAAGGTATGAGCTTTTCGTGGGCAAGACACGTTTTTTCAAATACATTGGAATGGTAGATGAGGTTCTAAACTTATAGACAGGGACTTAACAGCAAATTAACATGTAACATGATGATGATTAAGTTATACAAAGTGAAAAACTAAATAACAAGTTAAGGTTATAAGGTCAACAGTTGTAAAGCAATAAATATGTTACTGTTGGGAGTGCTGAATGCTTGTTTATCTGTTGCTGTGTCATTGCTTTCGATTTAATTGTGAGTCGCTGTGGGAAATTGCTATAAATTTGTATTCAGACTTATCAGAAGAGCTGAGAATAAGGAAAGCTACCATGTATTCTACTAAGATCCTGTATTTTAAAGATCTTTTTTCTTTCTTTTATGTAATCCTAGGAAGATATTCCCAGACAGTTGCACTATGTTTGCCTTTATATTGCCCATATATCGGGTGCCTATGTATTGAAGTAAGTATTTATAGACTTAATTTGTATGTGTTTTTTAGGATGAGAGTGACATGCTGTTAATGTATCATTCATGCAGTTTACTGTTTTCTCAGGTGAATATGTCCATGTTATATTTTGGGAATTATGCTGCTATCTGTGCTTGTGGCTGAGCAGTGGTTCGAATACAGAGCTCCCTACTGCTCAGCAAATTCTTTGTATATTCTGTCTAAATGCACAGAGCCTAATTTGTTACTAATGACTGCTCAGAATAAAATTTTGAAATAAATGTTTCTTTGTAATATTCCAGTCTTCAACGTTTGGGGCTAATTTTGCTGGTGCCTCATTACCTTGTGGAACTGATTTTTCATGCCTCCCGCCTTTTCTACTTCAGCGATGAGAATAAACAGAAAGGGTAATTTGTTTTTATTACTATTATTATCACCTACAAGGTAACAACTTCCTTTGAGCACCGTAGGCATTATGTACCCCATTAAAAGCACAGACTGTTAGTACAGAAAATCAAGGAGGCTGAGTGTCCGTTCACAATTCTTCTTCTCACCCCAAACCAGTCCTCTTACATGCTGTGGTGGTCATCTCTTCCATACAGTAGCACAGATGAATTTGGGAAAGCGAAAGACTATTTCACTCTGTTGCACCAAATGAAGTTCTTAAAAGCAGAGTCACAAAGTCAGGCAAACACCTTCCCTTTCATCTCGACCTTCAGCATTTAATGAAGTCTCTTCTTTGCTTCCAAATGCTACTTGAAAATAATAGGTGTCAATGTTTTCTGACATTTTCACTCAGAAGTTGTCTTAGACTTTGTTCAGTTGTTAAAAGAACATACTTGCTAAGATTCAAACCAGAACAAACGGAGTTCTGGCTCAAGAGAAAAAAAGCTTGCTGCCCTGACCTGGATAGGCCTGGCAAGCTCGATCTCATCAGATCTCGGAACCTAAGCAGGGTTAACTGTGGTTAGTACTTGGAGACTTCCTTGGAATACCAAGCCGGGAGGGCAGAGGCGGGCTTTATTCAGCCACCTCTCTGAATATCCTCCAGGACCCCAGTAGGGGTCAGTCACCAGAGGTCAACGTGACTTCCAGGTGCAGACACATGTGTGTGCACACACATACAGACAGAACCCCCCCCCCAATAACAAAAAAAGAGAGAAAAGCTTGCCAACGTCCTCTTTTCCATTTGCTCCTTCTGAGAAGTCGTTCCTGAGGGTGGAGTGGGCGGGTCCTCCAGAATGATATAAGGAGTGGCATTCCTCCCTATTTTTCCATTTAAATGTTATCATTTGGTGTTATGGTTGTTTCATTCTGCAGGAATAGTCAGAAGCAGTGCTGCAAATTGTGATCAGTATAGACATAATGCGAATCTCAAAAATGCCCAGAATAGAAAAAGAAGATAGAATGCCCTTGTGAGAGAGGAGGAGCATGCAAGCCTTCAGGTCGTTCCTGCTGTCCTAATTGGGATTAGGCGATCACTTTATGCATATGCAAGGAATTGCATATGTGCATCATATCATCTTCTGAATCGTTCTTGCTTTCAGTAGAGTTCAGCTGACCGTTCTGACTCAGTTGATTTGGTTAAAGGCCTAGGAGTTGTATTAGACTTAGAATTATTTCTGGGAAAGCAAGTTAATGTAGCTGCAAAAACACTCTCTTCCAACTCTGTTTAGCCTGGAAGATGGGCCCCTGCCTAGACTCGGCCAATGTGGCCACCTAGATCTATGACACAGTAACATCTGGATGAGACTGCTGTAATGCACTTTACATCAGTCTGCCCACGAAATCGATTTCAAGACTCTGGTTGGTACAAAAATCTACAGCTTGGCTAGTTATCAGGAGCTAGGTGGAGCATGTATGCTATACCTCTTCTGCAATCACTCTGTCAGCTGCCTATCAGCTATCTAGTTGAATTCAAGGTACTGATTTTCACATATAAAGCCCTTGGATTCTCTTATCTACTGGATTTTTCTCCCCCATTCCCTGTCCAGCAGCTTCGCTCATTTGACCGAGGCCTTCTGCAGGTACCATTGTGCAGGCAAGATCAACAACTACCTGTTCACATGCATTATCTTTTGTGGCCTCCCCCTTTTTGACTGGCCTGCCTGAGAAGGTCAGGAAGGCCCCCATGCTTCTTGCATTCCACAAACTATGTTGTTAGGAGAGCATTTTATAAAAGCAGTAAGGTTCAAGAAAGTGATTAAATAAAGGGAATGGACTGAAAGCTATACTACTGTGTATAGTATGTATTATCTGTATATTATCTTGCTGTCACTGCATTGTTACCTACCTATGTAACGCCACTTTTTGGCCTTCTTAATGTTTATTATGGTAAGTATTTATACCTTGCTTTCAGATTTCTGTAATCTTAGTCCTATTACTGTTATCAGATGCCTTATTTAATTGACTGCACTGACTTACTTCCTGTAATCTGCCTTGAGTCTCAATGAAAAAGGTGAACTATGTATAATATAAATTTAAAAATAAACTTGTGGTACCGTTGCTCTTCAGGAAAGAGCACCCACATAAGCGTAAGAGTTTTTCCAAGGAGCTGTTTTGAATGACTGCCATTATCTTCAAATAGGTAATAGTGTTCAGGAAGCTGTATATATCTGAGATTTCAGGGTGTTTGTTAAAGGCATTCTAAAGTAATTATGGTTTTCTCTGCAGATTTACCCTTTGGGCTCTACTTTTTGTAATGGCTCGTCTCCTGACCTTAACATTGTCAGTTCTCACATTTGGATTTGGTTTGGCAAGAGCAGAAAATCCTGGTCTTTCCATAGCAGAAGGAAACTTCAACATACTTACTATTAGGTATAAAGCTTTATTCTTATTAGTGTTTTAAATATTACATTTATTAATATGGCTGAAGGAACTGGCTAAATAAGTTTTCTTTGGAGCCTTCTTTTCCATTTACCTTGTAGATGTTAAGTAGTCATAACAAACAATAGCTCTTCTGGACCCAGTCAGAGGTCTAAGTCACTAGTCCAGCTAGGCAGCCCTGAGATGTTCATAGCCATTGTCTGTTTTGAGATGTGTTCAGAAATCAGAGGAATGTTGTTTCTGAATATTAGCGATTCCTTTTTTGTTATATTTGACAGGTCCAGGAATATCAGACTGCTGTTAATGGTAGAGGAACAAAGTCAGTAAAAAGTCCTGCTGACAAAGATCACGACAGGTGTATCTCACAAACAGCTTTGTTTTTTTGGAGTACTCCCACATGTTACTGCAGACCTTTCCAAATTTCTCTTCACCACTGTAACTTGTTGCAATTTGATCCATTATTTTCGACTTGATCCATTATTTCTAATATTTCAGAATTTATAGCTAGTTCAGTGTCTGCAGTTGTAACAATGCATTGTAACAATCTATCTGTGTATGTATACTTTTGAAAACTTTTTTTTTCAGAATTGGCTGTCTGGCTGCAATTTGTTTGACTCAAGCTTGGATGATGTGGAAATTCATCAACTTTCAGTTAAAGAAATGGAGAGAACATGTACAGAATCAAATTCCTAAGAAAAAAGCAACCAACACAAAGAGTAAACCAGCAAAAAAGGAACCAAACAGAGGTAAGTGTAGTCTTTGAAGTGTGCAATTCTACCACCGGGAAAAGTTTATTTTCATTTATAGTCCATTTATAGTAACTGGGACTCAGGGTGGATTCTGTCAATTAATAAAGTAAGTGTAAAATATGATGACATTGAATCTAACAGAAAAGTAAAATAACATGATGCACTGGGGCTGGGTTTGAAGAGCTGGGGGACGGGATACCTGCCATATCATGCCACTATTTGCCATGGAAGTTTGCTGGAGTGACCTTTGGCCAGTCTTATGAACATCCTCCCAGGGGTGTTGTGAGGATAAAATGGAGGAGAGAACAATGTCAGCTGCTTTGGGTCCTACTTGGGGAGAAAGCTGGGGTGTAAATGAAATAAACAAGGTCCCCTCCAAGGCTGATCCATTTCATCACAGCTCTACTGTTCTCCAAGAAAGCTCTCCTTGATGATGCATTGGACAAAAGTAGAATGGGGAGGCAGACTAATCCTCAAGGGGGAATAGGCAGAAATCAACACACACCCTCGCTTGCATGAGCTGTTTTACAATCAAAGCAGTAGTGTGCCTGTGAGTTTAGGGGTGGAACACTCCTCCTGCTTGCCCCTAATTGACCCCCACCATGTGAGGTACATCCTGCTCTGTTCCTAAAGGTGTCGATACCATTAGGAGAAGCTTTTCAGGGTTCTGCTGAGGAAAGACCAAGAGATCCATTCCAAGAACTGATTCCATTAATAAACTATAGCAATGTTATCATAAGTCAAAAGAAGGATAATACATAGGCTTATTTTATTTTGGTATCATTATTTGGTGTAGAATCAGTATATTGGCCAGATCACTGGCTCTGAGAGATCAATCCTCTTGCCCCCCTCCCTTCAGTCCTCCCTGAAAGGGAGGGGTACCAGTAGGCAGAGTGAAGCAGTAGATAGAGTGAAGCAAGGTAGGTTTGGTATAGCCTCTGCTGGAGGAATGGTTATTGCTACTTTTAGTGAACAGAAGAAGATGCCATGACACATGGAGAGGGGAAGAAAGAAAAATATGCAGAGGTGAGTGGGAGAAGGAGCCTGCATCTAGAGAATTGCAGATAGGATTTTGAAGGATACAGTTGTTTAACGAACTTCAAGAAGATCTCTCAACATTGGGTGAGTGGGCAACAGTGTGGCAGATGAAGTTCAAAGTAAGTAAGTACAAGTGATGTAGTTTGGAACAAATGATCCTAACTTTTTACATACACACTACAACAAACAGTACAACACACAGTAGGAAATAGCAAAGAAAAACAGAAAACAACTGTGAGCTGACTATCCCATTAAAATATACAAAAGGAGACTTCAATAAAGTGAAATGCATATATAGTCTGAAATGAATCTATTCATATAATCCCTTATAGGAAAATACAGAAGCCAACAAGATCCATAATAGTAAATACAGAGTCCAAAGTATAAACATACAAGATAAATATCCAACACTTTTCCTAGGTAATTTTCAGTGTTCAGACTTCTGGTCCTTCCTCAGGAACAAAGAACAACCATTGGGAGTTTCATTCCATTTACTTATAGGATAATACTATTCTGTTTCTTTAACATTGGGCAAGATCTCCTAAGCTCTAGTCAGCACCTCTAAAAGCTGCTTCTATGTAACAGGACCAAAACATGCTCACAGGTGTTTTCTGTTCTTCTTTAAATACACACTGACAGGGTCTGAACTGACAGAGGCTGAAAGGGAAAGATCTTGGGATAGTAGTGTATAGCATGAAGAAAATATCCATTGGTCGCAGTGAAAATGGCAGGACCGTACTAAGGATTTTGGGGGAAACCATGTAAAATAACCCATATTATACTGCCTCTGTGGGGGGGGGAGTAGCCATTCTTGGAATATGGTGCACTGTTCTGATTGCTGTACCTCAAAAAAGTACTGCAGTGCAGGAGAAGGGCAGTCAAGATGATTAAGCTCTTGGACCACCTTTTCTACAAGGAAAATCTAAAGAATCTGGGGCTTTTGTGTTTAGAAAAAAGATACCACCAAAGGGTGGACATGATAGATGTGTTTGAAATTATGCATGAACTAGAAAAAGCAGATAAAAAGAACTTTTCCTATTGCGTAATGCTAGAACTCAGATACCCAATGAACTTAATGAGCAAATAGGTTCAATGTAGATGAGTAATTAAATTGTGGAATGCACTGCCAGAAGATGTAGTGATGGCCACTAGCAAATAGATACTTGAAAAGGGAAGCAGACAGATTGCTGGAGCATTAGTCCATCAATAGCTGCTAGCCATAAGGTTATATACAGAGTTAAATTTCTGGTTGTGCCAGAGCTCTTGCAGAAGTAGAACTGCAAGGAAAAGTCTGTGATAGCCATTTGTACTAAGTCAAACTTATTGTATCCTAACTGGTGTTCCAACTTGCACAAAATCTTCTGCAACTGATTTCAGGGCACTATAATATATAGGTAGGAGAGGGCTAGGTGTTGCACAAGGTCTTGTGCAAGCAGAATTGTGCTAAGTCTGTTTCTTACCACTTGTGAATCACCCGATCCAAGCCACGATGTCTAAAGGGAGCCTTAACATCCAAAAACTGGAAACCACCTAATAATCAGTGCATGATGGCAACACTAATGGAAGGCCTGCTCTCTGAGTTCTGTTATTGGCCTTTCAGAGCAGCTGGTTGGCCACTGGTTAGACTAGATGGATCACTGGTCCAGTGTATTTCTTACATTCTTTTCTCTCTGGAAAGTTCAAGTTTTCTCTCTTGTTCAAGCTCAGTAATGCCGGTTTGTATTAATACTAAGCATTAGGGCTGCCAAGTGGGGGCAGGGAAACCCCCGCTTCGGAGGCCCGATTTCCGCCGCGGAATCGGGCCCCGGGGGAACTCCGCCCCGGCGTGCGCGTCACCTGGAAGTGATGCAAGCACGCTGGGCATGCTGGGGGTGGGGCCACGGCCATACAAGGAAAAACCCTATGGGTTTCCCTTGTAAGGCCGTGGCCCCGCGCCCGCGTCACTTCCAGGTGACGCGCGTGTGCGCACACCCGACGCCAGCCGGGAGCCCCCCGCTCCCAGCAAAGAATCACTTGGCAACCCTACTAAGCATTCTAGAGTGATATTACAATGTGTGCATGTTCTGCAGTGTTCTGTGTTGTAACTTTTCTCTGTTCATATTACAGGTAACTTTGCCAATGGAGCGGTAAAATTTGAAGAGGGTACATCACCGAGAAAAAGGAAATCAAAACTTTTGTGAGAGAACCATAGCTCCAGAGGACACTGTTTTAACATAAGACTTTAATTATTTAAAAAATAAAATTCTGTTACTGCAAAGAGAGAGACTATTCAGCTGTGTTGCCTGAAAAACACTTGTTGAAATAATATATTTTAAAACTTATCAATACAAAACTTGTGAGAATATTTTATCATGATTTTAGTTTATTTAACATTATAATGTTCACAGTTTCCATGTATAATTTCTCTTTTGTTTCATTCTTATGTATACCGCTATAATATGGGTGATTATTGATCAGGCACATCTTTATTTGAAGTTTTAAAATTATAAGTAACAGTTCCATTAAATCAGTAAAAAGTAGTTTTTAAAAAGTTCTTAGAAACTTTAATTTCTGGAATTAATTAGAACTGAAAGTATGTATTAGGATTTTTAGATGTTTGCACAATTTTCTGTTTTTATTATACTGTCTGAAATGTCTCTCTTATTCAGAAGCAATTTAAATGTTTTTTTAAGTTTCTGATATGTTATCTCTGGTTAAAGGCATTGTTTTAAGGAAAAAAAGAATGAAATCAGTTAATCTCTTCACAATGGAAAACTGCCAGTTCAGCAATTGTGTGTGTTAAGAATTATTTAAGGCTTAATTTAGCAGAAATGGTATCCTGATCAGAGACCCAAACTAGTTAACTGGTTGTATACAGAGTAACTTCCAATGCCTTTTCAAGGAAGTTTTAAAAGTAGATTTTTAAAAAGGTGCTAAAAAGTTTCATTTTACTTTGTTTAGAGATCCATGGAACTATTAATTGTTCTTCAAAATGAATGTTTCTGATCCAGAGCTGTAGATCACTTCATCTATAAGAAAGTCAGGTTTTGTAACTGCATAGTGTAATAAGCAGCTGTGAGTTCTTTGTTGCATGTCACACACAATCCCCCTGCAAAACTGTACTTCGTTTTTAGATCTGTCATAACTTCAGCCAATTAGGCCCGGTTTCTGCCTCATAGTGTAAGCTTTTAATTCCTGAAAAGGCCCTTGCATTTAATGCCTGTTATAATTTATAGTTAGCCATAGGCAATGATTATTCATCCATCATGTGCTAAAATACCTGGTTACAATTAATAGTTGACAGTTAAAACTATCCTGATTGGGATTCAGAGACCTTGTGCTCCTGTAACAAGCTTGCAGTACTAGCCCAGCGGAATTCTTTTTTACTTGAGAAAGCTGATTCCCTTGCCAATACCGCAGGCTATTTTTTAAACCCCCTTCAGGCCCCAGCAGTTTGCTGTGTGGTATGAGAGAGGGGGGGTGTCTAAGGCTCCTCCCTCCCCTTGACTCTTGGAACTAGTTTTAGAATTCATTGGGTCCTGGCCATTGAATATAGAACCTACAGATCCTAGACATGCGTTGATCAAGTTTTTATGTCGAGTTTCCCTCCTGTCCCTTTTAACCCTTCCTGCTGTTAGCTCCTAGATAGCGGAAGGTGGAGGCATTTTGTTTTAGATGGGACTGGTGGATGTTTAAACTGCAATCCTGAAAGTGTCTATTAAAACAATGTGGCTGTTCTAGGGTAAGCAGCAAGAAGTGCCACTACTACTAAATAAAATCCCTATATAGTAGCAACCAATAGAAGGGAAAATAAGTTACACTGATCCTTAGTTTTCCAGGCTGTGGATGGTCCCAGAATAGCTAATGTCTTTCACGTACTTATAGGTGCAGTCTGTATTTTAATTGGAGCTCACACAGTTTATAGCAAGTTTGTATTATCACAGCCTGATGTGGTGCTCCATGGGCACGACAATGCAATTGTGTGCTCATGTATGCGTAAGGGTTTTCTTATATAATTCAGTAAGAACTTTATACATGCATGTCCAAGGATGGCACATTCCCTGACCTTGCATCCACTGGGGAAACTCTTGTGTGCTTTGAAACACACTGCAAATCCAGTGTGGTAGCTATGTAACTCCTATAACAGTAGAAACACTACTCTTCTGTTATATGCTCCTCCATACACATAGAAACTGCCCGTATGGCTATTTTTCATTCTGATAGAACATCCATCTTCTCCAACATATGCTACCTTAGAAGATCTTGTTATGGCTTTTTGCTATTTACATGCTCAACATCCAGAATGGGATGCAAGCATGAACAAACTGTTTGCTTAAAGATACTATATGTTGAACCAGTCAGTCTTGGGTTGAAATTACACCTCAGTCCTGACCATACTCCTGTGAGAAACAAGTGACTTAAATCATTCTTTCTCTCACTAGCACTCAGTAAACCATTCAGTCATATATGTTTAGACGTTGCCACATAGATAAAAACTCTTTTATAAAAGTAACTAGACTTTTTGTATGTTACTTAACATAGTTGCATCATTTGTATACAAATGACATCCAGGTTTTAAGCCCATTTTTCTCATTTGCCAACCTGGTCCTGTGTGCAAACTTAACTGTAGAATTTGTCTGTGATTTCTCATGATCCTGTATATTTCTACTGAAAATGTTTTACCTTGGAACTAGAATATATTTTTTTATGCTTTTAAATAAAACCTATTTGTATGTTGATGAATGCCTCATCTGATAAAAGTATCATCTTCTGAGCAGTTTTGATGAAAACTTCGTTTTATTATAAGGTTCAGCTATGCTGCTCACAAGACAATGCTTTCTCTGATCAGCATGCTTGTGGCCCTGGACTGCTTTCTAACAGAGGAGGCCGAAGACCAGTTTTACGTGTTGCGTCCTCAAGATGGTAAATGTGGATATTGTGGAGTTATGGGCCGAAGTTTGTATTGTCTCAGATGTTGTATGTCGCTAACATAAAGCAATTTTCTGTAACAGAAGTGGCCAACAGACATTTAAAAAAAACTCTAGCATAATCTGTGTATCAGAAAATAATTGCAAACTCTGCTGAAGGAAGTGATCGGGTACTTCAAATGTCTGGAAAGTCTGTCTACGGGTTGGGAATTACATTACATTCTTGTGGAAGATAAGAGTTCAATTACTGAATTATCGTCACAATTTAATTCCTAAGGTAGACCTATAAACTTCTACACTTAAAGTTAAAATTGACCACTTTTCTCCCTATGGCATCAGACACTTTGGTTAAACATTTTATATGTTATGTTTTCTAAAGTATCCTTGAAATGCAGGTATTTTGTGTTTGCGTGTGTGTGTGTGTGTAAATCTGATATCTGTAAAACTGGGAAGAAAACTCTTCCCTACTGCACCATGAAAGGAACTAATTGATTACCATAATGTCCTGTGTCATTGCACTGCACTAATGGATATTCTATGTACTATCAAACACATTAAATAAAAGGTGGGCCTGTGCCTTAAGATATTTTTGTGAGCTTTAAACAGTTTTTGGCAAACATTGATTTTAAGGTATTGCTCCAAGAAAACTTGATGCATAGGCGCTTGGAATTTAAGCTGATGGCGGTAGTGGTTGTGTATTCATGAAAAACACTTGCTCTGTACGTGTGGAATCTCTTTTTCTTTTACATAGATTGCTGAATCTGTGACTTGGAGCAGAATAAAGGCAGGTGTATAAGCAGTCCGAAAACCAGCTATACTGTAGCTGTATTGAATGTCTGTGTGTTGTATAGGCACACACCCCACCACTTGCTTAATGTCCAGCCAGTCCTTGGGGACCCTTGGATGCACATGGGTGTCATGCATACACTTTTTGGTCTCTAAGGTGCTACTGGACTCAAATTTAACTAGCATGGTAGAAATAAGGTGCTACTTGACTTGAATCTTAATTGTTGTGCTGCAGACCAACATGGTTATTACTCTCTAATACTATGCTAGATGCTCTAGTTAGTTTCTGCCTTAAAAGATGAGTAAGGGGATTCTGGGGAAGTCCAGGATTTCCTACGAGTGTAGATCCAAGTAATTCCTTCTTTCCTCTTGCACTGGAAAGGAATTACCAATGTGTGCTGTGCAATTCTAAGCATGTTTGCCCAGAAGTAAACCCCCAGAATTTGCTGGGGCTTACTCCTGATAAGTGTATATACAGTGGCAGTCCTGAAGGAGAGCAAAAAGCCAAATAGTGTCTGCTGCAAGTTAAATACAAAGATCTTCAGGTGCCCTCCCAGAAGGCTGGTCTTGTCTGTCTTACACTTGACAGAGCAAATATTTGCATGCAGTTGTTAGGTGGAGAATAAAAGCCTAGAGATTATGGATATCATTATGCTCAATTCTAGGATTGCTTCTATTCTGAAAAACAGCTGTATGTTTTGGTTTTCCCAGAATGTAATGTTGTAGATGCCAAATATAGGTAAGTAGAAAATACAGAGAGGCTGATAACTCTCTGCATTTGCCTTTAATTTGAAATGCAGCCTGTTAGATACCTAAAAAGAAATTCTATACATTGTAAGGAGTCCTATATTATTGAACACAACAATGAATGTTCTGTTATTGCCTAATGTATATTGGTTTTTCTGCCATCAGGCTCACACTTAATAGGATCACCCTGTAATCTTAAGCAAGTCACGTGGAATTTGGTTAGACTTACTGCTGTGTTTAGGGTTGCAGATGAACAAGACTAGTTGATATATCTTAAAAACAGTGTGAAGGGAAGAGTTAATATTGCCCTACCACAGCATCACAGAACCAACCCAAATCACCCTCACCCATGGCTGCTTTGAAAGGAAACTTTTTTAAAAATCCAGAAAACCAGTCCGCATCTTGTGGATGCATGCCTGTAAGGTTGCAGTCACACGCAGCCAGTTGAGGTGGAGCAAGGCTATTTCCTCCAAGGGAATTTGACACACAGTTGCAAGATCACATTTCCCTTTGATGCTGAGGGCACAGCCCGTCAAGTGTGTGATCAGCTGCAACTGCAAGTGAGTTGGGGGGGTTCCTGCTTAAATGAGGAATTGCACCTCTGCACTGAGGGCTCCCTGTGGAGTTTGCAATGATGGGGGAGGGGACAACGGCACAATGTTGGGATGGCCTGATCAGACCATCCCGACAGTATGAGAGTGTGCTTGAGCACCCAGACTGGGGAAAGTCCGTCCCTGGCC